AAAGCAAAATCTTGAGCAGATTCTTGGGTATAACACTTTATTCCTGTCACTTTGGCAAGAGCTTCCATCACCCCATCAAGTCATTGAAGTTCCCTGCTGAAACATCGTAGTATCTATTACCAAGCACACTTGAGGGTCAGGGAAGATTTCAGAAGGGGAGGTGGGTGCCTGGGCTTGAATCACAGCTGGATATAGAGTTGGGGAGGAACAGCATTCTAGGTGGGGAGAACAGCACAGGCAGGGGCCCAGAGGCCAGAGCAGCTGCACGGAGTCTGACTGATGCAGAGAATGAGGAAAGAGTGGTGAGAGGATCTTGGAGATGTAGCAAGGGTGCCAGGTAAAAAAAAAAGGGGGGGTGCCAGGCAAAGGAGCACTGAGGGCACTAGGGAGCCATGGAAGGTTTACGAGCAGAGGGGTAGAAAAGTCACACTAGCTGCCGACTCAGAGATAAAAATCAATGGAGACGGGAGGTAGGCAGTGAGCCCCCAGAAGGCCCTACGGCGGGACAACTCCCAGCAATCCACTTATGACCGTGGCTCTGAGACTCGTGCTGGCTGTGCCTCAGTTTCCCTGCCTGTAAAACAGACTAGTGCCAACCTCGGAGTTGCTGAGAGGATCTGTGAGGTAACAGTTGAGAGTTTGGCGCAGTCCCGGGCACTCAGCCAGCACACAGTAGCAGCTGATTGCTGGAAGCCGCCTTCTGAGACCGCTCACTCCCACTCCCAGGGCTCAGTGCATGTGACGCTGACGATGCCGCCTGCCCTGGGATGCATTCTCTCTCGCCGCTACTTCTTACTCATTTACCCAGAAGAAAGCTGATGTATTAACATCTGTTCTGTCAGTGGCTATTTCTGACCCTTAAAACTTAACCACTTATTCTGTAGCTTTTTTATCTTAAAAGGCATATTTACGGTATACCCAGTACTTGTGAGTGTGGAGGCAAGAATGATAAGAATGATGATAATTATAATGTCCAACCTACCCCATTTATCCGATAGTCACTTTGTTAGCGCACTATTCTAAGCACTTTACAAGCATTAGACCAGGGCTTCTGAGCGTCGGCACGACCGGCAAGTTGGACCCGATGAGCCCTTGTTGTGGGGGGCTGTCCTGTGCACTGTGGGATGTTTAGCAGCCTCCGTGGCCTCTGCCCACCAGATGCCAGGAGCACCCCCATCCCAAGTCGTGACAACCTGAAAGTTTCCAGATGTTGCTAATGTCCCCTGGGTGGGGGGCGAAATCGTCCCCAGATGAAAATCACCAGAGACATTATTATTCTCATTTTATAGATAAGGAAACTGAGGCTCAGAGAGGTTAAGTAACTTTCCCAAAGTCACCAGAGCTAATAAGTTTTGGGACTTGCATGCTGGCAGTCCAGCTCTGGAGCCTGCATTCTGGGATGTGTGCATTTGTCTGTCTTAGATAATTAAGAACCTAGTTTATACTCTCTTATTTCATTTATTCAAATTTTACTTAATTTTTGAATGGGCTGTACATCCCCATGGCTCAAGTCTCAAGGATATATTAAAAGGCCTTGACTGAAGTCTGTCCCCCCACCAGCCTACCCCATTTTCCATGTCCCCTCCCTCCCCACACCCCAGACACAGATAACCACTATGTTTATGTACCCTTCTAGAGATTCTTTATGTGTTTACATGAAAATGCAAACTCATATTTACTTTTCTCCCATTTTTACAGCAAAGGTAGCATACCATATGACTGTTCAGCAGTGTGCATTTGTAGCTTAACGACTTACTTCGGTGACCTTTCCCTGAGTTCTTCCTCATCCTTTGGCATAGCTGTATTGTTTCGTTGTGTGAATGGACCATCATTTACTTAATCAGTTCCTTATGGATGGGCAGTTGCCATAATCAATATAGTGTGGCAAATAACCCTGCACCTTAGTCATTTCAGACTGCGAAAGTGTATCTGTGGGACACTCTCCCTGATGCTTGATTACAAAGTCAAAGGATATGGGGATTTTTCATCTTGAAAGACTTTGCCAGACTGTCCTCCACCCGGGGCTGTACCAGCCCCGTGTGCGAGTTTCCTGTTGCCTTCAGATTCACCCACACATGGCGTCAGTCTTCTAGATCATTGCCAGCCTGATAGGTGAAAAGAGTAATCCTGGTTTGTTTTCATTTGCATTTCTCTTACTATGAGTACAACAGAACGTTTTTCCCTATGTCAAGAGACATTTGAATTTTCTTTTCTGTGAACCTCCTTCTCATCTCCTTTGTACATTTTTCTGTTAGGATGCTGATATTTTTCTTACTGATATCTAGGAGCTCTTTCTGTATTAGTGAAATGGGCTCTTCGTCTGTGATATCAGTTGCAAATAATTTTTCCTGGGAGGTCATGGTCTTTCAGACTTTGTGCATGCTGGGGTTTTTATTAAACTTTGCAAAAGTTCCTTTTTATTATGATGTCAAATTTTTCTGTCCTTTTTGACAGAAGTTGATGTTTTTACTACATTGGTGATCATTCCAGTGAGAGAAAGAAGAGTGGGCAAGTGTATAGGGTCTGGAGGCCAGACTCCAAGGGTTCAACTTCATTCTCTAAGCAATGTGGAAATTTAATTAGAGGAAGTGAGAGAAACAGGGATGGGGGCACATTGGATGGTACAGTTTAGTGGCTGAGAATTTCAACTGCCTGGGCATGGATCATAGCTCTGTTGTTTATCACCTAAGACATCCTGGACAAATGTCTTAAATTCTCTGAGCCTCCCTTTCCTCATCTCTAATAGAGGTATAATAGCTGTATCAGACAGAGTTGAGGCAAGAAGCAGATGGTTTACTCAAAAGGAGTAATGAGGAGGGTTTAATAGGGGGGGCTATTGGCAGAGGTGTAGGCAGGGCACGGGTAACCCATGGAAGACAGGGAACTGTGCAGCACCTAACGGCTAGCAACAGCGGGAAGCTGTTACTTCCCCTGGGCTAGAAGCTATAAGAGGAAGAGCAGACACCAAAGCCTAAAAAGAATGGCATATGGAGAGGGGCACCCAACGGGAGCTTTAGTAGAGGGACCTCGCCAATCAGTGTTGATGGAGCAGGGAGGGAGCTATGGGACCAGTTCCCTCAAGGTCACTTGCTCCTGTCCTCCTGCCTTTCACCAATGCCTCCATTGGCAGAAAGCAACCAGAAACCCAAGGCAAGCGATCCCCAGTGATGCAGCTCAGAGAAGTCAGCCGTTGAGGGTGCAGAAAAAGGTGGAGGACAAACCTGCATGACATCCAGCATAATAAGTACTTTGTGGGGCTGATGTAGGAATAAGGGAGATAATACATGTCC